AGGTGCCCCGATGGAGACATAGGAGTGGTGGAGAAAAATTAGTGAAAAGAAATCAGAAGAAAAAGAGGAAATAACATCAGAATGCACTTACATTGTGGTGTGCTGTGTGCCTGTCAGGACTGTGCGAGTGTTTGTTTCAAAGTGCCTTTACTCTGTTGTGCAATGGTTTTATTATTAGTATAATATATTTTATTATAAAAATGTATTGTTCCTGGTACTGTACCCCTGCTACCCTTTTTCCTATTGGTTCAATGTAAGCCCTCTCCTTATTCAACCTACCTGCTTCACCTGTTCTCCCTAGAGACAGTTTCCCATTTATCCATGTTTAGACAGTTCCACCCCTTGTTGCTGTGATTTGCCACTCCTGGAATACTCCTCCCAGTCTCCACCCTTTGTTCCAAAACAGTGCCTGCTTTCCCTATAAAAGCTGGCATCCATGTTTAATAAACGTTCATTTTATGTCACACTGTGACTCTGCGCAGAGTGATTCTTTCTGGGTCTTGCATAAGGGGGGTTACAGCTCTACCCCCATCACTTCCCCAGCTCTGTTTCGCTTTTGCTCCAGCACCTTACTGTGTTTCTTGCTGTGAGGAGCCCAAAAATGAACCCAGGATTTGAGACGTGGCCTCACCAGTGCCAAGTACACTGCCCTGGTCATGCTGGTCACGTTATCGCTGATATCACGCAGGATGGCCTTGGCCTTCTTGGCCATACGCTGGTTCAAGTTTAGATGTTGTCAACCAACACCCCCAGGTCCTTTTCCATTGGGCCATTTTCCAGCCATTCTGCCCCAAACCTGTAGCACGGCCTGGGGTTGTTGTGACACAAGGGTAAGACCCAGCATTTCACCTTACTGAATCTCATACAGTTAGCCTCTGCCCATCTAGCCTGTCCAGATCCCTTTTCAGTGCTGCTTCCTCCAGCAGATCAACACTCCCACTGAATTTGGTGTCATCTGCAAACTTACTGAAGGTACACTCAATCCTCTCATTCCAATCATCAATAAAGATATTAAACAGGACTGGCTGCAACAAAGAGCCCTGGGGAATCTTCCTAGTAACAGCCTGCCAGCTGGATGTCACTCCATTCACCACCACTCTTTTACCCAATGTAGTGTAGCCATCCAACACATGAGCATCCAGTTTCTTCTGGAGAATGCTGTGGGAAACAGTGACATAGGCTTTACTACAGGATATTATTTATCAGTGTATGATTTGGAAGTGCAGTATCACAGTCAATTTTGGAACATAATTTTTTATTGCACAAATGCTATGGAAAAACCCAGGCAACGTTCAACATCTTGCATTGAAAACTTAGAGAATGGGATGGTTTGAATGCACGCTATGTAAGCCAACATGTGTCCAAACCAAAAATTTTTAGCTTTCTTTTGACTATGTAAACACCCTTTTGAAGCAAGACAACTTGTGTTATAAGCAGTTATCTATGAATGAAAAGAAACATCTGGCACAGACTAATGCAGTGTTGAATAATGTGGACATCTTCAGAGAGACACCACCAACATAGGACCAGGACCCTAAAAGTGACCACTAAGTCTACGGAAATCTCTTTTGCATCCATATCTGTAAATAGGCAGCAAATGATAACAAACAGACTCAACTAAATCACAATTAGCATTTATATATCCTAAACCTCATGGGTGTCTCTTAATGTATTACATTAATGCTATGTCTCCTCCAGCTCCTGTGTTCAGGACCTCTAGTTTGGTAGGGAGAAGATGAGTGTGGAGTTACTCTGAGGTTGTCTCTGTATGATGATGATAGGGATTGTCTATAACATTTATTTTTGGTGGGTTTTTCCTCTTTTTTTTTTTTAAGAAAAATGTAACTTTGTATAGTTTATGCAGATCAGAATGTATTTGCTTTGCGTATCAAAGGCAACAGGGCAGTGAACTGCAGTTAGTTGTACTTACAGTATGTTATATTTTATTAATATAGTATATTTACAATCCACCACACCAGTTATGATTTACTCTCCTGATGAAAAACAGGGAACAGAAAGGCATCATAAGAGGAAAAAGAGAGGAAAATGGAATGGTTATTGCAGGGGTCAACATTAAGTCTGTGACAGGCTAAGGGAAGGAGGCACCAGTTCTGGACTTTTATATTTCATCACAAATCATTCTGTTTTGCCTGGAGCCCATGACACTGGAAGTCAACAACCTATGATCCTTTACCCCAGACCCCCAGGGTCCTGAAGCCTGGTATCTTTTTCAAAAATTCAACTCATGACAGTTCCTCCTTCTTGCTCCCCGTTTGAAACTGAGGGGAGTTTTTTTCTCCAATAACAGTTGAAAGACTGTGTTTTCTAAATTCAAGCCTTATTTGCCTCTGTTCTCTAAAACAAGGTAAAGCAGAGGTATCTTGACATCTAAAAGCAATCTGCAGAGGACTATAACATCTGAAGATACCATCCTGTGGCAGACAACTCATTTACTGCGGGTGGTACGGGCAGTACAGCTAAGGTTCCCTGAGTCTCTGCAGTGTAAGACCTTGTTTTCAACTGTTTATAAGTCTGCCAAATACATTTGCATTCATCTTTCTCTATGAAGTATGTTCCATTTTACTTTCCTTGCCAGGATGTAAGATGAGTTGTCTGTTTGCATCTGGAAATAATCTGTTCAGTCACCTGTCATAAAAGAACAAAGAAAACTGAGTTTTAACAAATGAGAAATATGAAGGAAGTATTATAACGGGCATCTCTTGTCTCACAGAAGCATCTAGTACCTCCTCCTGCAGGTCCTCCCACAGCTGTAACCCCTGCCAGCTCTCATCAAACTGGGCTTGTAGGCAGTGCTGTGATACTCAATAGCTTTGAAACAGTGCTGATGACTGAGATAAGGCAAACTACATAAAATGCTGGGTATTAAAGATAGAACTTCTTTTGCTATCTACTTGCCAAATATTGCTGATGCACCTGTTTTATGTTCAGAGTGGGAAGACAGTCAAAAAGGAAGTGGCTAGTTTTAAAAGAGAAGCAGCTCTTTCAGTTTCTCAAAATAGCCCAGATAGAGAACTGGGTAATAAGAATACGTTACTGAGTAAATGTGTGTTTGAAAAGTGCTTGGACGTTTTTTCATTGTCACACAAAAATAGTATATGCCATGTTTTCAAAGAATAAATTCATTTTCACTAGTCTGGAGTGCTTCTTATCTACATCTACCACTGGCAGATTAAGGTGCTGCTTTGGTGACAAGTGGGCAAGGTTTGTGAGAAAGCCTGTAGCGAAATTCATTATATGAATTGCCCTTTCCCCCCCTGATTTTCACTGCAGTTCTCATACAGATGCAACGGAGAACACTCAAGATGCTAGTGTACACAAGCTAACATCCTCTGGCATACAGATTTTCTAAATGTGAAGGCAATTTTTCTAGGCAACATATTAATTTCCTCAGTACTCAACAGGAACACTGGCTGCAACTGCACTGCAGGTGGGGAAATTATAACAGGTCAGAAACTTGTAGGAGCATTAGAGAGTAGAGGAAAATGTTGGTCACTGGTAAAAGAAACCTCCATTAGAACATGAAAGTGTGCAATATCCTGGGATGTTAGGGACAAGGAAAAAAAGCATTCAGCATGGGACATATCTGCTCTTCTTTGCTGGCCGAATCCAGTTAGATGGTACACAAAAGTGTCTTATAATGAAGTGAACAAAGATTTTCCACACCTACTAGGGTGGTAACCCTGGAGCTATGAAAGAAAAAAAAGAATCTCTTAGAAACCGCAGAACACTTGTTAGTACTTTAAAGCCCGGAGAAAAGGTTTTTATGTTGGCTAGTTGAAAGAGAAAAGAGAACTTACTAAGAAGTATGGTATGATTTTTTTTAACATTTTTTTTCTTTTCAGTTTGACCACGAGTCCCTCTGAGCAAAGCAGAATCTTTACAACCTGTGAGTTTGGTTATAGGGGTAAAAAAGAGCATAAAATGTGTGGCATTTGTACTAGAAAAGGAGTCTTGATTCATTCCCACACACATATATAATACCTATACACCACAGAAGTACATAATGGAATCACATCATTTTGTCTGTAGGTAAATACAGAACTATAAGGTAAATGTGGTGATTCCACTGCCTTATGAAGCAAAAACAGTTGTAAAGACTGATGACTCTGACAGGCGGACTGCTTGGTGCGGAGATTTCAAGTCTGCTAAGCAGACAAGTTCCTGAGCCTCCCCACAGCACATGGGAACCATGCAAAGGGAGGAACTGAGAAGGAGAAAGGACAAATCCCCACAGACAGCCCTAGAATCATTAGAGTTGTGGACCAAGCATAGCATTCACAGGGAAATGTCAATACTGTGGAACCAGGAAAAGGAAAGGGATATTGTAGGTGGTGCTGCTCTTCGATGCAGCTACAGAGCTCTGTTGAGAAGTGAGTCCAGAGAAGATTAATGCAGCAAAAAAGTTTGCACCTCTTGTAAAGCCTTAATTTTCCCTCTTAGTTAAAATCCTACCCAATTTGATATGTTAATAAACATTCATTCCACATATGGAATTTAAAAGCAAGAATCTGCTTTCAAAAACACACACAGGATCTGGACATGCTCCATACAGAAAATCAAATAAATAGCTTGGGGGAAAAAATATTCAATTTAGAACAGATATGTCTAATGTTTAGAGCACCAGGTTTTTTTCGGGATCATCTCAACTCCAGAATATGCCATCTGAGGGTTCCTCTAGTTTTCAGGACTAAGGGCCAAACTTGGGATCCTTTCCCTTTGAGGATATGGATATTTAAATGATATTCTTTGTCTATATGCTTAATTTCCTAAAGGTATGCAAATGCCTTGTGACACTGAGAAGGCCAGAAGACGTTTATCACTATGCCGTTGGGATGTGTCTGGCAGTCTGTAGAGAAGGTACCATACACTCTTACCATTTTCAATAGCCAACTCCCAGCACCCACTAAAAGGACAAACTCACACTTTCAAAAATCTCCCGTGTACTTGACCCAGCTCTTTATTTGTTCCTCAGTGAATCGTGTTCTGCTGAAGGCTGTAAGCAGCTGTCAGAGATGCAGAGAATAAGGACTGCCGTGAAATTCTCCCACCTGTATCCTCCTCCAGCCTGTACCCTCACTTCCTGATGCTGAGTGGTGTCCCCAGCTTGGCCATGAACTCTATCTGCCTGTGGTACACTAGCAAGATTGCAGGTATTCCTATTAGAAAAAAAAACTGGAGACAACTCTTAACTGTGTCTTTGAATGAGGCTTTGAATGTGGCTTTTTTTTCTAACATGCACAAGAAGCAATATACTTAATAGGGGTTTTTTAAGAGATGTTTGGAATCTTCAGTTTTAGGATACTTTTTAGGCTCTTGTAATACATGCTGAGATGTGAGACTGAATGCAAGCTGGGCATTTGGGGATGGTAATGATCTGCAGGCAGCATTTCTATCTAGAACTGTAAGGAAATTGCAGAGAGACCAAGATCACCAATCCCTATAGATCAGTCCCTTGATATCAACGGGGCAAGACTGACCCACATTATCTAAGAATCATAATCCCAATTCCCCAGATGTCCAATGACACTGAGAATCTGAGGTCTGGAATGCTCAGATTTTGACTTAAATTAACCTTTTCCCTGTAGTTTTGTAATTTTAGGATGTGAAATTCATCTGCGTTAGTACCTCCATCCCTCACACTTTTCTTTAAGAAATTATTTGGAAAAGAAACTGCTATCTTTATAGAAATCTGAAACATTAGAAAGATATTCAGAGAACTCATTGTTGTAGTTAAAATAGAACTAAAATAAAACCAAGTATTCTCTCACTTAACAAGCACACTGATAAAAAATCACTTGCAAGGGTTTTTAACATAAAAGGCTACAAGAGCCTAAAAATGTTGCTGTCATTTTTGAGAAGCACAGTCTCCTTTGAGCCTGGAGAGGCTACTGAGTACTGTGTATTTTACCAAAAGCCTTGACTAGCATAGCATATTATCAGGATTATCTGCCTTTCTTTATAAGCACATTGTAGCCCTTGCGAATCACACCAACTACTTTCTCTGCCGTGGTTTCATATACCAGTGGGCTGAATTATTCACTCTCTGCAATCTGAGTTTGCACAAATTCTTTCAAAGAAATTAAAAGGGGGGCTGGTGAGGCTGGTGAAGGGAGAATGAAGGACAAGATTAAGTCCATGAAACATGCTGGGAGGCTCTTGAAGATTCTTGTGTTTTGATGTGGTAAAAAATCCCAGCTATTATACAGCAAGATAATCTTTAACAATGATGATAGCTAGTTAATAGCTACGCTGAGCACAGTGAAAGGAAAAGTGGAGTGGGAAAAGCTGACTGTCTGCCTCAGATTATTTGTATTTGGAAGCTACATTATTTTTTTGTCAAAGCTACATATAAAATTTTTTCACATGAAGCAAGTTTAATCTTCTCCAGATCTGTGAACCCTGGTTAGCACCAAGGTGTTAATCCAGAAACCTCCCTTGACACTGTTTTTTATTTCAACTGGGAAGATTCCTTTTACAATTACACTGCAATGATGGAGTTAGCAGGGTCAGAGGAGGTAGCATGAGAGATGAGAAACAAGCATATGTGACAACCTCCAGGAAACCATTTACATGCACAAAGCAAAATGTTTCCAAAACTAAGAGCCGTGCAAGTTTGACAAGCAAGTATGCAAGCACAGTTGTTCTGAAAGCTGGGCTGCCTTCAACAGATGGGCTCCCTCTGAACCAGAATAGGGGTTTCTTTGCTGGTAAAGGTCAGAAGTGAGCTACCGCAGACACTGGTGGAGGGAAGAACATGGTACACTACCTTTCAGGTTGGTGTCACTCCCAAATTTTGGTCAGTCTCCATGCAGGGAGGAGTTAATAGCTGTAGCAGGCACTGGTCTTAAGTGATGGTAGTACACATAGCTTGCACTGCCTTGACACACTCGCAGCCTCCAGCATAGTTTGCAATGCCATGGCCACTTTTCCTGAGCAGGAGTTGTGTGCAAAGACAATCAAAGGTTTAGAATGAAAAAACTGCTTTCAAGCAGTCTAAACTCACAAATTATTATAATGTACAAGGGCAGCGAGAGAGGTGTTCACCTGTCAGTCTGCTGCATTTAAGACACGAGCCTATCTCCACTCTTCCATGCACTGACTTTAAAAAAAATTACATGGGTGAAAAAAAAAACAACAAAAAACACAACATCTTTGCTACAGAGACATTTTTAACAAGTATTCCAGAAAGAGCACCAGCTATCAAAAAGGCTGCCAGGACCAGAAGGAGCCATCAATCGAACAAGTTTACATTTCAAAGTTTTTTGAGAACAGTGAAAATGTCTTTACTCTCCTTGATGGGAAAACTGCAGTGCTATAGGAAAGTATCTATTTGCTGCTCCTTACTGAAATGCAATTCTCTGAAGCAGTCCTTTAACCGGCGATGGTGCTAGAATGTTAGATATACATATATATATACACATGTACATATACATATATAAAAATATATATAAATATATATATTATGTATATATATATATAAAATAGCTCTCCTGAGAGTTCTGCTCGGAGCTGCTTTAAGATCATGGAGTCAGTCTGTTCTCTTTTCCTTTTGTATATGCTATTGTTCAGCTCTAGAGTTTCTCTTTGATATTAGAGATGAAGTGGTTAATTTTTTAAAAGCCTTTCCTGATAGTGTTTAAGAAATGGCAGAGTGTATTTGTCTAATTTTGACATTTATCAGATAATTCAGTCAAGTTCCCTCATGTGACACAGCTTCGTTCTCTCAAAAAGAACCTGCTGCAAACAAAAGGCCATAGTATATTGTACAGCATCGCTGCTGACAGATGTTTCAAAATTAAAATGCTAAGCCTCCCTTGCCCTGTGGAACCTGGAAGAATACAAAACAAACAAAAAAAATTAAATGACTCTTAACAAGCTGTACTTTCTGTATCTGTGCTACTCATTTCATCTCTGTGCTTGATTTTTTCTGAGTCATTTGAAAATGATTAGGCAGCTCAAATAATTGTTTCCTGGGTATATTAGCAGCACTATAATTGTCATGTTTAAAGCTAAAGTTGGTAAAGACTGTAGTCTACTCTGGAATATTCAAACTTCCAATATACAACAGCTCACAGATAAATATTTTGAAACTTTTATTACTAGTTTCCCTAGTAGTTCTTTTCTTTGTTTCTTTGACAGGACCCCAGATGGATTCAGTCTGACGCTGTTCTTCATTACCCAATGGCACTGCCTGAACTCTGGATGGAAAGGTTGTCATCTTGCCTTTGGCCAGCATCTTGCAGTTGCTACCATACACTGGCTGTTGCACACTCTCCTCTTCTGGGTGGCAAGGGTAAATGAGAGGCCTTTACTTCTTTTGACATGCAAAAAAGAACAAATGCCATCCACTACAATATATAATTTCTGTGAGTACAGTCACAGCCCCAGACTTATCGAAATAAGTTATACTTGGTATAATTCATTGGGGGGAGAGGGGGGAAGTTATCAGCTACCATGCCAACAGTCTTTGTAAATACCATTGGTTTTCGATGAACTCTTTTTGACCCTCTGGTCTGAGGTTGCTGTTGTGTGATGTACATAATTCTCTCAACACTGGTCCATTACTTCTGCTCAGGGTTGGGGGTCAAGCCTGTAGTGTAAAGTCAAAGAGAATTAGCAGCCCTATCAATAACCAGCAGCAGGACTGCAGTCCAAATGATAGACCATAAAAATTCAAGGAAAGATGAATAAAAAGTGAGGAAACATGCATGTATATTCTATAGTTTGAGCAGCTGCTGTGGACTATCAACATCATCAGGAGATCTCAGTGCATTAGCATAAATTCAAATGACAAATGCACAGTGCTATTCAGAGACTCATTAATTTGCAATGGGTGCAGTGCTCATGACATATTAGTGAAAAATTCAAATGTCTTTGTAGCATTGTGAGTTTAGTTGCGGGACCTAAGTTGCTAAAATGAAAACGTGTGCAATTTTTTAGCAGTTTATTAAATTATGAAGTGTGATAACTATATCTGTGCATTTTTTTAAGCAGATGAGGTCCAGCGTGCTCCGGCACCAAATTGCACGGTTTGTGTTGAAATCTCCTGTCAGACAAAATCTGAGCTGGAGCTGAAATACCAGCTAGGTGCTGGCTGCTGCAGCATGCAGGCTGAGATCTCCCCCTTCTGGGTGAATGGCATTGCCACTGAGAAAAAAGGAAAATTCACTTCTTTCAGGGCTTCTGCTTTTTTATTCCCCCGTCTTCTCTGCCACATTAGCCACCGGTTGTTTTGCACAATGATTAGAGGAGACATGATAGTAGAAATAAAATAATGCTGTATTATTATGTGTGAGCATGATGGTTTCCTCTGTCACTACTTATGCACAAACATAGCATGTACATGTAGGATAATTAAACATGTATGGAAAGCCTTAACTGGGAGCAACTCATCTTGAGCTATGGTTTTGTTTATCTGCAAAAAATGGAGAAAGAGAAGACTTACGTTTTTGTGGGGAACAGCCATAGTACTCTTTCATAACATTTAGACCAAGCTTGTAATTATAACATCTGAAAACTGAAATATACCACAGTGCTGTTTATCCTCAGTGCCTTGACTCTGTCCTGCGTGTGCAGTTCTGACACACTGCTGTATCTTTCCGACCTCGATGAACACTGTAAACTCTACCATATATTTTTGCTTCCTCTTGGACCTCTATCTATATCTTTGTCTGGCCCTGAGTTTACATGTTTTTCTGTCCACCTGGCTGTCACATCTAGTGTGAGCTTCCTTTACCAGAAAAATATACTGTAAGATAATTGCTAGTACTTTTTCTGAAGAATAAAAACCTTAGTTTTAAAATACAGGAGCCACAATACCTAACTTGCAAAAAATAGCTTACATTTTCAAAAGCACTGGATTTTAGCTGCACAGTCTCTGAAAAATTTTGAAGCAACCTGATTTTTGGAGATAGGGGAAATAACTGCCAGTTGCATGTCCAAACCCATTAGTTGTTCTTGAACATTTGAGTGTCTCTGTAAAACACAATAATATTTTATATATACACCAGTCATTAGGTGGTACAATAATAAGAGCCCTAATAAGGTTTGCAGCATCTCCTAGCATATGTCACACCTCAGAGTGAAAGGAGAGCTATTTCTCACTCTGCCTTCTCATCTGTGTCATGCCACCTGCCACATAGGATATGGTATGTCACAGCTCAAAAAACAAAAAAAGACCATAAAATAAGAAATGTCATGCCTTTTCCATCCCTTTGAGGAGTAGCACAATTCCTCTGAGCCCCTCTGTGTTCAGATAATCACAATGCTTGCCAGGTGACCTGAGCTGCCAGTGAGCTAAGAACATGTGGAAAGTGCTTTGCTCTCTCCACATACGAAAGAAAAGCAGTCAGCACACCACCAAACTAAGACAACAAATAACTATAAATTGGCTTAAAGCTATAGTTCCCAAGTTACACAAATGGATTAGGATGCTCATCTGACCTCAGCTTCTACCTTCCTCCAAAGCCTTTCCAGCTAGCCACCTGGGGTGAGATCATAAAAACTTCATGAACCTCCCATTACAGTCAGTTGAAGCTTCATCATACCCTAACATCACACCCTAACATTTTCATTAATCTTGCCCGAGACCTGACATGAATGTCCACATCACTTGGACCTGAGTTACTGCAGTCACAAGGAAGGATTTTGAGGAGGAGAGAACAGATGCAACGGCAAGGTGTGATGCTAGCAAAGTGTGTGTCTGGGTGTGCAGATGTTGGTATTGTCTTGGGGCCACAACATTCCTTCCCTCTCCAGGTTTCAGCCAAGGGAAGTGCTAAAAATCTGGCATAACAGTCAAGACTGGACCTACAGTTATTTTAGACACAGAAGAACAAACATTCAGCTACAAAGGCTGCTCCAGGGGATTGCAAAAAAGAAAGAGCCAAGAGTGAGCAGAGCTTTGTCTCCATGGCCCCAGCTGGTTGAAAAGCACAGCAGCTATCCCTGAATTCTCCTTTCCCCTTCACCACTGAAATGCTGGTGTTAAGCAACAGAGCAGGCCTTAACACAGGCCTGCCAAATATTTCAAGTACGGAGTCACTGTCCTGACCAGAGCTGATAGGACAGCTGAAGGTCCTTCTGCAGCAAACAAATACTTCAGTGGTCCTTCGCTGACTCTGTCTCTCCGATATTTCATTCCCTCCACTCCACCCAAGGTAAGACAGGAGCCAAGAGCATGGTGCCATAGATGATTGGCTGGTGGGATTGCCAGTGTCAGCGGGATCCTAAAGGTTAAATGCCATGGGATCAGAGGAGCCTGGAAATTAATGAGTTGCCCTTCTCCTCCTATTACGCATGTCAGGATCGAGTCCACTAGCTAAATGTCACTTACCCAGACTTCTGTGGAGAGATGAAATTTTATTTTGTGTGTGTCTCTCAAAAACCCAGATAGAGGAAATAGGGCAGAGGTGGTATTTCTTATGAGAAACAACTTTCCTTCATTAGCAGGCAGCACTGCTGGAAAACAGGGCTTGGTTTAAACTAGACCACCTAATCTCTGCAACCAATTGTACAGGTCTTCCTGTGTTTACAAGTTCACTTGATATTTAGACATCAGTGGAGAAAGCTTTTTGTACCTGATCAAGAAAGCAGTCAAAAAAAAAGCTTAATTGCAAAGAAATTTTTTTCCGTACCACAAAAGGTAGGATTTTGCTTTTGTTTCAGAAAAGCCCCAATCTTTTTTCACTTTGGATTTGTGTGGTTTTTTACATCACACCACCCAAGAGGCTAGCTGCTCTGAACTCTGTATTTCCAGGAATGACACTGATTTCAGGAACATATTCCAAGAAAAGGGACCTCATAAACAGTTCGGTGGCTGTCTGGGTAGCAACCGGACTCAAATGGGCAAGTCCCATCTTAGAATCCTACAAAATTATTATTACCTTCAGAAGAATCCCAGAAGAGGGAGTTTGATAAGACAAATGGAAAATTAGATTATGGCTACACGCAGGCAGAACCAGACAACTCCCTTCCAAAAAACAAATGTCATAAGTGAAAAAACTCTGGTCTGAGCTTTCACATCAATGAAAATCCAGTCAGTCTGCCAGCTTCAAAAGTAAAACTTGGTCCAAAGTCGTTACGAGAAATGAGGTGATAATATACTTAAGCTTATGACACTGTTTGTGTTAACATCTTTTTTTTTTGGGCAGAACATGTTTGTATTTCAATTGACAAAGTATTTACAATGAGATGAGATATACTCACCACCAAGGGCAATTAATTCAGGGTTATAAAGCTTGTGTTTCAGAACAGGCATGAATAATTCAGTGTTAGGTTGTTTAAGTGTGTTTTGTAAAATAGAGCTGCAGCTTTTGTTTTTCTTGAAAGCTTCTGTGGAAAAAAAAAAAAGGTGATTTTTTTGTTTTTTCTTTTTCTCATCACCCATGGGAAGAGTAGTGGCCTTTTGTTGTTCCACACTGACCTGCATTTCTTGCTTGTTTCCCACTAAGTTGAAGAAAATACAATTTAAAATGGGAGTATTAAGGAGTAAAAGGAGTGCAACACTATCCCTTTGTGTCACAGCCTATCAAGTACCACAGGTTGTGGTACTTCAGACTGCTTTAATCATGATCAGCATTGCCAGATTGTGAACTTTTATGATGCTGATGAGCAGAAGTGCACACACACATAAATGCAGTATTTTCTTTTGAGTATAAGTCTAACCTGGTAAATGAATTTGTGTAGCCAAAGGGAAGGTGTCTGTGTGGTATCTCTCCATCTGTGCTTCAGATGCATTGTGTTACTTTCATGCTATTCCATAGGCTACATGTTTAAACAAAAAACAAACCTGGGTAGCTGCTGGACGACTGAACTGACTGATTTTGCCTGAAACTGTCATCACTACCTGAACTGAAGAGAGAGCAAAAAGGAGGAATTTTTTTTTTGTAGTCTTTACAAACTGGTGGCATAGTTGAACGCACATTCAAAACACAGTCCCTGTTAGTGGCTGGATGGGCAGGGCCCAGTTAGGGGAGAAACTATGACCCTCCTTATGGTTCCATCATGGTCTTCAGAACTCTCATATTTGAAGCCACTTGTTTAGTATTTTAAATCAAGAAGTAGCAGAGAGTCAGAAACAATACACCAGAGAAGTGGAAATTGCCTCAAGTGAGGTAGTAAGGCATTAGCTCAGATAACCAACATTCATAATGCAAACTGCTGAATTTGAGGGTCCCACCAAAAATGTTCTTGCAGCACAGGACAGGCGCTGCCAGTTGTGCCAGTCTTGGTAAGTATTGTGTGCGCTGAAAAGCAAACCACTCCAAATGGGTAACATGGGAAACAGCCTTCAGTTTTTTTGTTATGTGGCTAAAATCTATTAAAGCAGTGAAACCTTCTGGTACTTCTGTGGTAGCTGAGTTGAGCCTTCTCGAACTAGGCTAATAATGAATGGAGAGCTGACTGGAGGTAACCTCTATATCTGTCCAGACCTCTCCACTTAAGAGACAGGGTAATGTATGGTACAGCTGAAACACTGGATTTTCACACTTTTTGACCAAATTCCTTTGTGTAAGTAATCATGAGACTTCTGAGAAGGAAGGAGAGTATGTGCACATCTTCTCTATCATGACTCAGACCATATCAAGCTCATCTACACCTTTTCCTGGGGAGCTCCACATAGATCCACAGGGTCATAGAACCCTTTAGGTTGGAAACAGCCTCTGAGATTAAGTCCAACGATTAACCCAGCACTGCCGGGTCCTTCACTAAACCACTTCTTTAAGTGCCACAAGGAATAATATATATGCTCGCATGAGAGCACAGCCCAGGAAGGTTACAGACAAATACTGAGCCTGTTAACTCAGTGTTTTCAAGATAGTCTTTCATATTTCTGTAATGAATAAGAGAACACAGCAGTAGACAGGGCAAGGCCCACATCAGTTTCTCGCCATGGGGAAAGGACAAATGGAAATGTCAATATTGAATATTTACAGTAAATTGTGTAGCTTATTCAGGATGTCTGCAAGGGTAATGTGATTAAGGATTATGATTCCAAGGGAAACAAATGTGTGCCCCAAACCAGCATTTTTCTTTAGAAAAAACATCTTTAATTGTTACCTCGATAGCACTCCTTGTAAGGTTGATTTATTGTTTTCCCTAGAGTGATAAGTCTTGAACAAATGATTGGATGCTGTAGTGAATGGCGGTGCACAGCAGATTTGTTTTCTCTTTAGCATTATGTATTTCTTCTCTTTGTGCAGCAGCATGAGAGCATCTGAGTGAAATGCCCAGACCTTGTGCGTTTTAGGATTGCTGGCTTATGGAGGGAGACACCAAGTGCTGGGAGAGTGTGGGAAGAAACAAATTGAAAATCAGCCAGTGGGAAACAGAGAAGAAGGCATTTTTACTGCACTGTGTTTACAGCTTGTGCTTTCTCAGATCCTAAAAAATCCACTGTTTTGCCTACATGTCTGCAAGACATTATAGTTCTACCATGCATATCAGTGCACAGTTATTAAAGTAATAGCTTCTCCAAGCTAATGTGATGAAATTCAGGCTTGGAATTGCCTGTAAATTCCAGAAAAATGGAAGATTTAATGAAAGGTTCTTCAAATTACTAAACCTGAATGGTGAATTTGCAGCCTGCCCATTCTTAATGCTTTTAATTCTGTATGACAGAATTTTATACTCTAAAGTGCATTAAAAACCTGTAATCTAAGAGTGAGTTATCATAAAAGAAAGGATGTGTCTGTGTTTGTGTCTCTGTGTCTGTGTTGTCTGTGTGTCCTGAGCTCAATTCTTGAGTTTGGAAAACAGCTGACATACAGAGCAGCCATGAAATTGCAGCAGGGGCAGTTCAAGATATTCTGAGGTACAGGTATTGGGGGAGAAATAACATTTACAGGACTATCTCCTTTATTTCTTTCTTTTCCCACCAAGGAATGGTGCTCATATGTGTTGCCAGACAGGGTTGGCTGTGGAAGGGTTCTGTGCTCTTGGTGCTACAAATACCCCATTAGCCCATTTGGGAGTCACAGACCATCTGCACCCATCATCAGGGAAACACCACCAGTTTCAACTGCGACATCCTTTCTTCCTCATACTTTTAGAATTATTTTTAATGTTAGAATAAGTTAAAATCCAAGCCATAATGGCTACAAAATGCATTCAGAAAACTTAATTTACATCTTTTTCAAAAAGTCATAAAAACATTCTTATTACATATGTTCAAAAATATTGAACAAGGCTTTTGCAAAGCCCCTTTATTTTGTGATAGCTTGTTTTCATCTGTATTACTGTAGTCTTCTCAGCCTTGTTTTGCTAACGATGCCATTGCCTTTGTTTTCATCATGCCTCTTCATTATATTAATTATTTTCTGTTTTTCTTCACCTATCTTCTGCGATTAAGAAACTCCTCTATGGTTTGTAGTGTGATAGAATTGTAATAAAATCTGTATATATGGTTCACTATTGTCTTGTTTAATAAATATGAACTCCTAGACAATTTGTAATACTGCATTTCCCAGCCTGTAAAACATACACAGTGCAAGAAGTCATGTGAGAAAGAAGACTATATTTACAACACCTCCAATAACAAACCTGCTGCAGAACTCACTCCAAAGCCAGTCTAAACATGACAGCATTTAATAACCGAGCCACAAAAGATAATCATCCTGATTATGAAATGCTTCAGAGTTTAACCATTTTTGTAGTCCTGCTGCTACTAGCTGAAATACTGGTGAAAATAGTGAAATTTGTTATTGATTTTGATCAAAAAAAGTTTCGAAGGTCAATACAAGGAAGGAACTGTAGCTTCAGTTTAATACAATTAGACATGATTATCGCTTTTCAATGAATAAGTAATGATAAATCTAATAGCTCAAGATGCTAAGAGAGACTGGATTACCATCTTTGTAGGCTTGGTCTAGATATCATTTTTGTAAAGACCCAAAGGTATGAGCACACAAGAGGTAAGTTTGGGGTTGAATAGTAAACACATCAGCTGTTTCACAGATGTTTCCCATATACATAGACTCACGCTCCTCATCCCTGCAGATGTAGAAAGGCTTAATGCCTTCACAGAGGGATTCATCATCACAAACCATTTTTGCTTCTGGACCTGAGGAAAGAGATTCAAACTGGTGTCACCAGGCTTATGGTAGCACATGTCCCAGTAAATGTTTTTTTTCAGAGCAGTGTCCAGTCTTTCTGATCAAGTAGATAAACTTTGTTCCACAAGATCCACAAGATCACAAATGATGCCTTTGCTCATCTAGTGAGTGGGATAGTTAGTCTAAATAGCCTGGGGCTACTTCCTAGGGGCTGCATGGCCTTGGAAGCAGCCAGGATGGAGATATGCTGGAGATGTTGCTTGAGCTCAAATTTTGAGAATCTCTGCTCTTTCCATACCAGGATGTACGAGCTCCTTGTCCTTGGGAGCAGAAGTGGACAGATCCAATGACTGAGTGAGGTCAGAGGGGGCAACTTTTATTTTTTAAAAGGAATTCTAATTTCATGTATACTTTTTATCTGCCTTCTCATCCAATTCTTTTTGTTTGTCATCTTCAAGTCTGCACAAAGACTGTGAGAAGACTGTATGTCATGCTCTGACACCACCTACTCCCTTAAGACAGTACTTGATAAACAAATGTAGAAGGTGATGATGATAAAGGTTATACAAAGTTTATCTTTTAACTTCTTATGGGGGCAATGCCTGAGATTATCAAGTTTTCTCAAAAAAATCTCTATTGAGCAGTTCACCAAGCCCAGTTAAGGCATTTGGGCATCATAAATTGCATGTAGACAGTTTATTGGTCTTCTTTCCTTTTTTTTTTTTTCATTCATTGTAACTGGTGTGCTTTGTTGGAGGGAAAGGAACAGACAGTAGAGAAACACAAAGTTTTCTGAGTCTCTTCTCTGTTACACAGTGGAGTGCATAAGTTGTTCAGAGCTACACAATAGTCTAAAGGGATCTGATTATTCAAATACATTAAACATCTCTCAAAATCTTCTGAAATTATACTATATTAGCCAGAAAATTGAAGTGGAAGAAAAGATGATTGAGTGTGCATGGTCTTTTCTATTTGCAAAAAATATGTTTCTCAAAAGGACTGAATGGAACAGATCATGATACAAGCCTAAATCGAGGTTACGAAGCTGGACTACGGGTTGTCTTAAGAGGTATAACCCAGTGACATTTGACATTTGTCCTCTAATCTTACCTCAGCCTTCACACAATTGTCTATTCCCCTTGAGCTAGACAGATCTAAGCTGTCAATTAATAGATAATGTAAGCTTACCTAGACGTCATGCAATGCTGTTATCCATGTGGAAATACATCAAATGTCCTAGTTTGCTCTAAAGGCTATGGCTCTTAGTAAAAATCTTCTCACATGGGAAGCCTAGGCTTGACAAATGCCTGAGGATTAGTCATAGTCAGCCATCCCTTTGTGATGCAAAATGACACAATCATTGGCTTTTTCAAATAGTATTACACTTCTACTTTCTCCAAATAAAGAACTCAATTCCAGGTTTGCAAATAGTTTAGGTTGCAAAAATTTGTTATTGAATAAAGGCGTCTTGCTAAATCTCAGGAACAGAATAAACACAATCACTAAAAGACTTGCCTAAATTTTTAGTAAATTCTAGGATGCCTAAAAGCCAATGGTTTCTTTTAATATTTGTCATGGCTTTGTGTTGTATTGCTGCAGCACTAAACAAGCAATACCTTAGGCAATCCCTTTCAAAGTAATCCTGACTGTGCACTGAAAACACCAAACACAGGTTGATATTTCATTGTAATAGGTGAGGACTTTATATTAGTCATCCTAGAGTAGGGTAGCTTTAAATTAAAATTTTATGTTTTAAATAGGGCCAAAAATCCATTAAAATGCTTATGTTTCCTAAAACCCAGCATCCAAAACATATGGAAAAAATTGCCTCTAGGTATTGAAAGTTGTTGCCTTTATCACACTGTGCATCTAAATTCCCAAGGATGATTGATTTAACGAGGTTTGCACATTAAAAATCTTTTTCTTTGTTACAATAAAGAAAATCACAAGAAAGATTAATGCCCTCTGCATGGTGCCACTGAATTAAAATGTCTTTCAAATGTCTTCACTCCAGGAACACTTTGCTAGCCAGGCCTGTACTTAGCAAAGATTTTCTCAGTGTAAAGAATTTATTAGTCATGGCTGATGATGCTGGTGTGCTATAACCTAAATACCTGGAATATGCTTATATTAGGACAAACTCGGCACTTTAGGAAGGCTTTGAAGAAGTGTTCGTTTTTCAGGTTGATATAATGGATTCCATGTCAGAAACACATGAGGTTACCCAAAGGTATGACCTTCATTCCTGACATATCTTCCCATTGTCAGTGATATCTGACACAGAGCAGAGTAATGTGCTCAGACTGTACTGTCTTAGAAAGTTTACCTCAAAAGTAAAGAGACACAGACCAGGTTGAACATGCATCTCTTTCTTTAGGCAAGGAGCTTGGATCAGGGGGGTAATACAAAAGAATCAGTACAGCATACTGGCTGTTTAGCTTTACACCTTCCTCAAGAAAAGTGTAGCTGCTATCACATTAATTCTCTCTGGAAAAACAAAAGGATTAATTCAATGTTTCCTTCAAGGAAAGTGCATTATGCAGAAATGTGCATGTAATGCCAGTATACTGAAAAAATTATAGCTCTATTTAGGAAGAAGTCACAGTGTGAATGTATTCACAGCGGGGAGAATAAAAGAAATATAGAATCACAGGACCATAAAAAACTTCAGGTTGGAAAAATGTCTGTAGTTCATGAGATCCAAGCTTTCACAGAAAGTAGGGCCGTGCACTGGTTATGCAGGGCTACATCGAGTTTTCAATGTATCTAGCAGATGAGCTTCCAGCAGTCTGCTGGGTGAAATACCTAGTTTGAATATTCTCACAGTGAAGAATATTTTTAATATCCAGACAAAATTTTATTTCAATCAACTTATGCCTGCTGCCTCATGTCTTGGTGCCATGCATCCTTGTGAAGTGAGGATAACTTATTCTCCATAATCACCTCTGAGGTCTTAGAAGGCTGTGATTAGAACTCCCTGAGCAACCTCTCTCCAGGCTGAGCAAACCCAGTTTGTCCCATCTGTCTTCATACATCAATTTCTCCAATACACTTGTCATCCTAGTGGTCTTTCTCTGGGTCTGCTTTGTCAAGTTACCGGGACCAAGACTGTTTTCTAAGGCATGGCCTAAGAAATGCCAAGTTGAGTGGGATATTCACATCCCTAACTTGTTGGTTGTACTCCAGCTGCTGGAACCAAGATAGTTGGCCTTCACTGCTTCAAAGTTATACTT